AAAATCTGAACCCTATCTCCAGAATCTGAATGACAGGAGAGAATCCACTCTTGCAGGTTATTCTGACCTGAAATGCACATTACCATGAAAACACACACACACACACACACACACACACACACACACACACACGAAAAAAGACAGAGGCAGGCAAATCTCTGTGAGTTCCAGGCCAACCTAAGTCTACCTAGAGTTCCAGGCCAGACAGGGATACATAGAATGACCTTGTCTCAAAAACAAACACGTAAACAAAAAAGCTCACTGACCTCCCCCATACACACACACACAGACATACACACAACTCTTTGACTGAATCTCCTAAAACCAAACCACTCTTCTATGTAACAAAGGCACAACCAAACCTAAGACCATCCTAAGCACCCAAAACAGGGCTTTAAAAAAAGACAAATGTGTGGGGTACACACAACTGAAATCCCAGCACTTAGGAGGCAGAAGCTGGAGGATCAACATTATTTTGATACCAGTCTGTGCTATACATGGAATTCCAGGCCAGCCTGGTTAAAGAGCAAGAAAAGAGATCAAAAATCAAACCAAAACAAAAATCAGTGGAAGCCCGGCATGGTGGCACACACTCTTCACACCACCATCCAGAGGCTAATACAGGTTGGAAGGCCCATCTGGGCTACTTAGTCAGTCTGAAGACAGCATGGACTACATAGAAAAACCCAGGTCAAAAAATAAAATGGTCAAGAATAGAGGGGGAAGGACATGACTTGGGCAGAGGCAGGAATATTAGTAGTTCAAGGTCATCTTCTACTAGTGAATTAGAGGCCAGCCTGAGCTACACTGAAACCTTGTCTCAAAATATAACAAAGTAAAACAAAAACCCACAAACAGAAAACAAAACCACCAGAGAGCCAATCACTGAGCACATCCAAGTGGCTGTGAAGTTTCTCTAGGGTCCCAGATCCAGAAGGTCTCTTCTCCAGATGGTATTAAGTGTAGAGATTCTGGAGACAATTCCAATTACTTTGTGAAAGAGCACCTATTCTTAGCTACAATGACTTGTGCAGGCTGGGACCCACTCACAGTGACCCTCACAGGAGCTATTCAACAGGCCTGCTAGGGAGAGCTAATCAATGGTCTAGTATCTACTGGAGAACACGGACTCTTAAGACACTGCATCCAATCTGCTCCCTTAGTGCTTGTGGAACAGCTGGCCCTGGACAGAGAGACAGTCACCCCATGCATACTACAACCAAAGCTTCTCAAACTGTGTGTGTGAAACTTGGCAAAAGTAACGGGTTTCTGAATGCACAAGGTCCAAAAACAAACTCAGAATCAAATGTACAATGGAACCGAGATATTCCTGGCAGGGCTTGCCCACGCTGCACCCTGTGACATCTGTGGCCTTGATTCCGCACAAGGACCACTTGCACTTTACACTGCACACACTGACATGCCCCATGACTACAACAAATGTTGCCTGACACTCCCTGGCTAGATTTGACACTACTTCGTACTATGAGCTGCACTGTTTCCACTGCAGAGAATGTTTTTCTGCTCTCACAGAAGCACAGTGGCTTAATTCCAAACAGCCAAGACTTCGAATATGTCCCTACCAGCCATCACTTTCAAAAGCTATGGCTTTGGAATGTATCAAGTTGTGTAAATAACCCATCTCATTTCTGTACAAATTGGACTTCATCTTTAATAAATAGTATGTTAGTTATATAGCAAAGAACTGCCTTAAAACAAATTTATAACTTGGGTGGTATCAGTTAATGTTTGATTTGAATGTCTATTTTAGACTCTGAGTCACATAAGTTCTTGGGTGAAAAGGGACTGTGAGTGCAAAGTCTAAGGAGTTCTGTGTACGCCATGAGACTCAAACTATGCCAACATGGGGATGCACAGTAGAGGTACACTTTGTATGGCATGGCCCAGTTTGCTGCTTACTTTCCTGTCGATGTGATAAACACCATGACCAAGGCAATTTATAGAAGGACTTATTTTCCAGAGGGCTAAGAGTCCATTATAGCAGCAAATAATATGTGGGCTAGAGCAGCAGGTCTTGATTTCAAATAAGGCCCAACCCCAGTAACATACTTCCTCCAGCAAGGTCTCACCTAATCCTCCCCAGCCACCAACTAGGGACCAAGAATCCAAATATATATGAGACTTATGAGGGTCATTTCATGCAAACTACCACACCTAGGCTTAAGACTTTCGGACAGAGCTAAAGTGCTTTGACCCTGTGTCTTCATATAGCACTAGAAGCTAAGCTCATTGGAACTGCCCCTGTGTGAAAATTCTAAAGCGACAACTACTTCTTTTGCTTATATTTTACTTTTACAACCCACCAGTATAGCTGAGAGCTATATAGTCTGAGCTGGCCTTAAACTTGTGGCAATCCTTCTGCCTCAAAATCTGAAGTACTGCAATTACTACTTCTGTCACAGTTGAGATGTGCCATCACTGAATTGTTTAACCTTATGGACCATGGAAACAAGATGTATGAACATGGCCCAGTCCTATATTCATGGTGCTACTCTCTGAGCAAATGATTTTACCTTGATCACTTAAATTTCAGGCAAAGATCAGTTTAGTGCCAAGACCCAGGGTTTCTTCCCTGCAGCTCACAAAGAACCCCCTAGCACTCCCTACTGCACCCCTCCCACTTTTGAGTCCATCCCTTTCCTCCAGGCCACTGTCTCCACTCTAGGCCACTGCTCTCTCATGTGCCAGCTGCAGCCTGAGCTGTGTGCGCTCTCACCCCCTGCCACACAACCCACTCTCTACGGCAGCCACTTGCAATCTCTTTGCAATGAGACAACATGTGTCAGGTTTTAGGAGACATCTGGCCTCTATGACTACTCAAGTCTACAAGTCTAGGGGAAGCAGGGGAGATGAGTAAGCAGGAAAGAGCAGGACCTTAAAGAGCTTTATCCACAGAGCCTGCCACTCCAACCCCACATAATTTCCACTGCTTACAAAATACTCGATTTGCATTTGACCACTAGATCCATTCTTAGCCTGTGAGAGCCCGAAAAGGGGAAGCTGAGCAGCTGCGGCACCCAGGCACTAGCAGATCACTTCTGCTCTCCAAAGCTTTGGCTCCTCCCTCACCTCTTGGTCTTGGTGTTCAGAGCGGCAGCATGGTTTTGGACTTTCCTACCCAGCCCACTCCAACACTTATTTAAAACAATGAAGATGAAAGCTACGTGCTTGCCCATACGCTTCGGGGCAGTGGCGGGTCTTCGTACATGCATACAATCCACATCTCTACAACGTCAACTTTTCTTTCAGATTTTAACCCAAATGCCTCCGCCATTAGAAAGAACCTTCTCTTGAAACCCGCCCTGGCCAGCACATCATGAATAATCACCTCATTGGGTGAAGTCCTTCCTACCACCCAGATCACACCTGCTTTCTGTCTACTCAAGGGTTTTCACCCACACTACAAGCAAGTTCCCCCAGAGCAGAGGGTGGGTGTGGTTCCTGCCCCTTCTTCAGTGCTGCACCAGATGCAAGGGCAGATGTGGATACAGGGTCCTGCCAGAGAGTGTGAGGCTCTCTTTTTACCGGTCATGAAACTTGTGCGAGGTGTGGAATGCGTACGTGTGGGCTCCTTCCTCACTTGGATTAGAAGTAGCCTTGCTCTCCCTCCTACCCGCTCAGTAAGTGCTGGAGCACTCTACAAGGAAATGCCCCCACCCCGGAAAGGTCTTCTTCCTCCCCTCCCTAACTAGCCTAACTAGAAGGGAGAGATCAAAGGCAGGTGTTCTTATCTACACTACAAGAGAGATTCTCTGGCCAGGAAGTATCCCCCTCCATAGCCTTAATCTTTCTCAAGACGTGAGGTGCAGGTGACTGGGTTGAGGAGCTTGGTGGGCAGCTCCTTGCTCTCCCATCAGTCGCTCAGTCAAGTGTGTAGGCTGAGGTATAGGGGTGGCTCCTTCCATCAGTGGAGAACCCTGGGGCATATGCAGGTACAGAGTACCGGGACGGTCCCCGTATCTTCAGCGTAGCGCACCTAGTGCAAAGTCAGGCATAGATCCAGGTAGGCGTGGTGCACGGTAGGTGCAAAAGACAAAACCGGGAGGACAGGGGCGGGTCCGGCTCACCTGGTCCGCGCCGAAGGGCGTTATGTTGGCTTTGACGGTGGCCACACCGAGTCCCACGAGCACCAGCCCCGCGAAGGTGGCCGGAGCGCAGCGGCGCGCGGCGACATCGGGACACACTGCCGTGCCGTTGGGGAAGGGAGCCGAGCAATTGCGGACGAGCTCGGGGCTCGGGTCCCCGCAGAGCGCGGCGCGCGAGCGGGGCGCGGCAAGCAGCGGGAAGGCAAGCATGCCGAGCAAGTAGAGTGCCAGGCTGAGCAGGATGGCGCGCGCCCGGCCGAGCCTCGCGTCGGCAAGCCAGCCCCCGAACGGCGAGCCCAGGTAGGTGAGGCCCATGAAGAGCAGCAGCGCCTGGCTGGCCTGCGCGCCCTCCCAGTTGAACGGCGCGCCATTCAGGAACAGCACCAAGTTGGCCGTGATGCCGTAAAAGGCGGCGCGCTCCAGCAGTTCGGCCAACAGCACCGCCCCG